CTGTAGACCTGAGAACACTGAAATCTCATCCTGCGGGGAAGCTAATAAGAAGAAAGCCAGTTGGTGCCCTAGATCCCACTGTAAGGTACCAGGTCCCCCTGAAGGTGGGCGTGTGGAACGGGGCAGAAAACCAGGAAGATCTCTGCACATTTTTATAAGGAGCAGGCAGGCCTCCGAAGTCCTCCTGTAGGAGCAGCTACCTTCTCATAGCCTGGCAGGAGACTAGAGACTTACTTCGTTTTTGATTTTTTTTTTCTCTTCATATATATATTTTTTTATTTCTTAGTTGGAGACTTACTTCTTAAAAAGACCAAGTCGTACAGGCCTAGCTGATGAGGGCAGGGGGAGGTAAGGTGCTCTACTGAAAAGAGGGAGCACCTCCTAAATGGGAAGGCCTCTGGCCTCTTTCCCTGGTTGGCTTCCAGAACCATTCCATACCATCTGTCTTAGTCACTTTGTGCTGCTATAACAAAAACACCATAGACTGGGCGGCTTAAACAACAGAAACTTATTTCTCACAGTTCTAGAGGCTGGGAAGTTCAAGGTCAAGGTGCCAACCAATTAGGTTCCCAGTGAGGCCCCTCTTCCTGGTTTGCAGATGGCGAAGCCACCTTGCTGTATCCTCACACAGCAGAGAAGGAGAAAGTGAGCTTTCTCAGAGCTCTTAGAAGGGCCCTATCCCATCATGAGGGTCCACCCTCTTGACCTACTTACCGCCCGAAGGCCCTACCTCCAAATACCGTCACATTGGGATTAGGGCTTCAACACAAATTTTGGGGGCTCACAAACATTTGGTCCGTAGCATCATCCCACTCCCAAGCAGTACATTAGGAGAAACAGAACCTGTAGACATGACATTTGAGGACCCTCTATTGAAACATGCAGATCCTTGCCTGGTTGTCTTCTGCTGCATCAGACAATTGACAGTTTTATAAGTGCAACTGACATTATACACAAAGCTTTCTAATTTTACTGCTTCACACAGAAAAACAAGGATTGCCAGGCGTTAAAAAAAACAACAGATTGGCCAAAGTGAACAAAGAAGGCACTTGAAGGAAGCAGACAATTCAGGGAGAAGAAGGAAACTTCAAAAAGAAACAAACCTATAAATCATTCTCTTCGGATAAGAGGAAAATATTTCATCTATGAAATAACAAATGTTAAAGAAGATAAGTAGTCAAAGAATAAAAAGAAATTTAAAATATGATAACAACCCAAACAAATTAGATTAAAATTGATGGTTGAGGAAAACTCTTAAGAGGACAAAAAGGATGCTAAGATGGTAAATAGAAAAGAAAATTAGAGGTATTATTCCAGGAGGTCCAATGTATAATTATTAGGAATTTATAACAGAGAAGATAGA